CATCCCTACATTCATTCATCCCTCCTCGCACCTTCCATCCATCTATCCATCCATCCATTCACGCATCCATTCCTCCTTGGTCTCTCCATCCATCCTTCCACCCATTCACCCATTCCTCAATCCCTTCCCCTCCCTCTCCCCATCCTTCCATCCATCCGTCTACCCCTCCATTCACCTGTACTTCAATCCATCCATCCATTTACTCATCCCACGATCCCACCACACACCCTCCATCCATCCATCCATCCACACATCCATTCCTCCTTGGTCTCTCCATCCATCCTTCCACCCATTCACCCATTCCTTCCCCTCCCTCTCCCCATCCTTCCATCCATCCGTCTACCCCTCCATTCACCTGTACTTCAATCCATCCATTCATTTACTCATCCCACGATCCCACCACACACCATCCATCCATCCATTCACACATCCATTTCTCCTTGGTCTCTCCATCCATCCTTCCATCCATTCACCCATTCCTCCATCCCTTCCCTTCCATCCCTCCATCCTGAAACCTCTTCGCTTCTCATTTCGCTTGGGAGAAAACCCAAGCAAAACCCTCATCCTGTTTTGTAGCGCAAGAAAATAATATGCTTTTCGTTATCAACAACCGAAAACCAGCAGATGGAAATTGGGGGAGAGATTGGGGGGGGGGAAGGGGCTTTTCTACCCAAACACCCCTTTCTAAAGGCACCCCTTGTTCTTTTTTTTTTCCTTCCTCCCCCTTGAATTTTGGATTTCAAGGTGGGCGGACTGGGTTCTGTTGCCAAGCAGCCGAGAATCAACTCTCCAGTCACATGGAAACAGAAGCACTCAAGCTTTACAAGGAGTTGAATTCAGGCTAATCCTCCCCAATTGCTTGCAAGAGATACTCCTTGGAATTCCAGCTGCTGCAATAAGGACATCTTTCTTCCCAAGTCTGCTTCTCGGTTGCATTGATGATGTGCCATCCAGATGCTCTCGACCTTTAGCGACCACCCAGATCGTGCATCTCCAGCTGAGTCCTTCGGGCCTTCCCAAAGAAACTCGGAAGGCTGAGACTGAATCCTTTACGGATTAACAGAATTGGAAGGGACCTTGTAGGTCATCTAGTCTGACCCCCTGGCCAAGCAGGAGACCCTACACCATTTCTGACAGACGGCAGCCCAGTCTCTTCTTCAAAGCTTCCAGGGATGAAGCTCCCACAACTTTTGAAGGCAGTGTTGTGGCTCTGTTACCTGAGCCTGTGTCATCGGCAGGACAGGACTCCGAGAGTGAAGGGGAGGAGTTGGCAAGGCCTCCCTCTCCAGGACCCTCCTCTCTGGCAATGCCTTCGGTGTCCGCCGAAGGGCAAGAGATAGGGCCAAGCACGTCCACGCAGCCACAGATGGACAGTGATGAGGGTAATGAGTCTTGGCTGGATCCACGCCAGCGTCGCAGATAAGTGCGCACAACAGAAGAAAAGGCGTGCCCGAGATTAGTCTGAGTCACTGGACCACACCCCACAGGATATAAAAGGGAGCGTGGTGGCCAGTCAAACCTTGTGACGAACAAAGCTGAAAGCTTCCATGCCATTCTGCATTGCCGGACTTTTGCTATAGACTTTGCTGGATTATCTCTGGACTTCATTAACTCTGTAATTATTGAGCTGTTTCTTTTGATGTACCAGAAGCGGAGAGAAGTTATCTCTTCGTCAGTAATAAACTCTTGGCAGGCAGCCACTAGGTTGCTGCCAAGTTCCGTTATCATAAGGAAAAGGATTTTGTCGGCTGGTTTGGTTTTTAACTCTTAGACGTCTGTTGGTGTGTGTGCGTGTGGGACGGGGACAGAACAGGCAACTTCTGTTCCATCGATTGATTCTTCTCACTGTCAGAAAATTTCTCCTTATTTCCAGGTTGAATCTCTCCTGATTCATGATGAGGGGACTGGAGGCTAAAACATACGATGAACGGTTGCAGGAACTGGGCATGGGTAGTATAGCGAAGAGAAGGACCAGGGGAGACAGGAGAGCATCTTCCAATATTTGAGGGGCTGCCCCAGAGAGGAGGAAGGGGGTCAAGCTATTCTCCAAAGCATCTGAAGGCCAGACAAGGAATCATGGATGGAAACTGATCAAGGAGAGATTCAACCTAAAAATAAGGAGAAATTTGCTGACAGTTAATCTAATCTAATCTAATCTAATCTAATCTAATCTAATCTAATCTAATCATATTATCTGGGAACTGTTAGGAAGGAGTTATGTGAGCAATGGAAATATTGGGCTCAACTGTGGCCGGAACTTGAGGACTACCTTACATATGTATGTATGTAAATGGCATGTCTATATATGTGTTATGTATGTGTATGCTTTTGAGGACAGCCAACATAACTTTTGTGTGCCAATGTGCCCGCTGGAAAAAAATGACAATAAAAGGTTACCTTATATATTTTACTGTTTTAATGTTTTTCTGCTGTAAGCCATCCAGAGTCGTTTGACGCGAGACGAGCGGCAAATAAATTTCAGAATAAATCAAAATATTTCTTGTACATCAGGCAGCTAAACAATCTAACGCTGGACTCTCTTTAAACATTAGTGAGTGTTTTTCTTTTAAATCGTGGCAGTTTGCTTTTTCCAGGAGCATCAAGGGCATACATTTTCTCAACGGTAAGGAATAAATAGGAGGGTATTTATGGGTAAATTATTCCAAATTCCTTCCATTGATTTTTTTTTTTCAGAATCGTTTAATTAAAATCACCACTCAGCGGTTAAAAGAGAACAGATCAAATTGTGGCCGTTGCTGGAAGAGCTAAATTATATCACAGGGGCCCCAGGGGACACCTCTTGAGTTTATTAGAGTGACGTTTGTCCTTTGGCCCGCCGTAAATCCATGGCAATAGGATTAGGGCACAAAACGGGTTAATATTCCACGGAGACTTGGCGGAAAGAGCTAGAAGGGAGGGAGGGAGGGAGGGATTAACACTCCAGACCCCAGAGATGAGCTTCAAACTGGCGGAGCGAGAGAGACGCGTTTTGAACGGGGGGGGGAAAGCCTCAGGTGCACCGCGAGCCGATATAAAACGTAGTACGAGAATCTGCGTCACTAAGGAACGACATAAGGGAATACACATTTCTGAATGTTCTCCACATTTTTTGTAATGTCTAATTCATTTTCAACCCATTTTCAGTTTTCATCTTTGAAGGCTCAACTTTTATTTTTAAAAATCACACTGTTCATTTATTCCTATCATCTGTTCATTATGTATGTGTATATTTTTATCTATCTATCTATCTATCTATCTATCTATCTATCTATCTATCTATCTATCTATCTATCTCTCTCTCTCTCTCATCTATCTCTCTCTATCATCTATCATCTATATTGATGTATCTATCATCTATATCTATCTATCTATCTATCTATCTATCTATCTATCTATCTATCTATCTATATCTATCTATCATCTATATCTATCTATCTAATCATCTGTAGCTATCTATCTCTCTCTCTCTCTCTCTCTATCATCTATCATCTCTCTCTCTCTCTCTCTATCATCTATCATCTATCTCTCTCTATCATCTATCATCTATATTGATGTATCTATCATCTATATCTATCTATCTATCTATCTATCTATCTCTATATCTATCTATCATCTATATCTATCTATCTAATCATCTGTAGCTATCTATCTATCATCTATCTATCTCTCTCTCTCTCTCTCTCTCTCTCTCTCTCTATCATCTATCTCTCTCTATCATCTATCATCTATACTGATGTATCTATCATCTATATCTATCTATCTATCTATCTATCTATCTATCTATCTATCTATCTATATCTATCTATCATTTATATCTATCTATCTAATCATCTGTAGCTATCTATCTATCATCTATCTATCTATCTATCTATCTATCTATCTATCTATCTATCATCCATCTATCTATCTATCTATCTATCTATCTATCTATCTATCTATCTATCTATCTATCTATCTATCTATCTATCTATCTAGCCATCCATATCTATTTATTTATTCATTATCTGCCTACATGTCTTTCTTATCTGTCTTTCTAATTGTAGACTTGGAACAGTTACTAAATAAATAGTTGTAACCTGAGGTCTACCTGTAGTTCACCATTCAATAAAGGTTGGTAAAGGCAAGAAAATGAGTCATGCTACGGTAAGAGAAAATTCTTGGTCTCTGAAAATCCTTTCGTTGTTTTTTTTTTTTTTTTTCCAATCGCAAAAACCAAGGACATACATTGGAATAGTATTCAAAGCCATTCTCTGTCCATGCTAAACCCACAAACAAAAAGTCCGAGCTTCGCTGTGTTACAAATTAAAACGCCTGGCCTCTGCTCTTTTATTCTTCTATTCTCATGGGCTACTGCTGGAACATTCTCTGCTTACCCTATCGCACTCCTCCTCCATCCGTGTTAATTCCTCTGGGTCACAAGCTAAAAACAGGACTCTGTTCTGCAGCCCACATGAATAATTCCTTCCAAGATTTACATCATTTGTTGACCAAATCGAGAGCTGTTGGGGCTCTCTGAGCTTGGTTGTTTCCTTGTAGACATTTCACTACCCAACTAGGGAATGCTGTCAGTGTAGAAGGAAGTGGGGTTTATGGAGAAGAGGAGGGGGAGGAGTGAGGGGGGGAAGGAGGGGAGAAGGAAGATTAGGATTGAGGGAGGAGGAAGAGGAGGATGACAACGACTGTGGGGTCCTTGGTGCTCGCTGAGCTTGATGGTTTTCCTTGCCAACGTTTCATGACCCAACTAGCTAACATCATCAGTGCTAGAAAAGAGTGAGGTTGGTGGTGAGGAAGAGGAAGAGGAGGAGAACTATGGGGTCTCTGAGCTCGGTGATGTCCTCGCTGTCGTAGGCTCGCTCACAAAAAATCCTGAACAGCTATAGCGCAACTTAAAATCCTGAGTCCGAAGGAGAAAAACCTTGCTGGGCATCTTGCCTGTGCCAGGAGCTCCCGGAGGATGCCAACATCCTTACGACGCATTCATTTTTATCGATCGTTTTTACCTGTATAGGCGACGTTCTTGGGATTTCCGTAGGGAGCCCCAGGCTGAACTGGGCTGTAAACGGGATTCATGGTAGGGAATGCGAGAACGCTGAAAAAGAAGAAGGGAGAGTTCAGAAAGCAGGCTTGGGAAACATTTACAAACACGGAGGGGAATATATATATATATATATGCATGCAAAAAACCAGGATTTTAACCAATTTTAACCAGGATTTTAAATATTTTAACCAACTTATTTATAATGACGCGGGAAAACACCCGAGATTTTAATTTTTTGCATATGCACACCCGTGAAAACTTAAGAAGACATATATATATATATATATAGGGTGTTGGTATGTAGGTCTTTGGTTATTCAGGTTTTCTCCCACGTAAAATTGGAGGTTTCTTGGCAATGTTTCGACGAAGTCTCATTCGTCATCTTCAGGCTGGTGTTCTCGGCTTCGTGCTTCTAGGAGCAATGTGTGTGATCGCAGCTGTTTCTTCCTTCCTTCTTCTTCCACCCCCACTGGCAGTTAAAAGGAAGAAACAGCTGCGATCACACATATTGCTCCTAGAAGCACAAAGCCGAGAACACCAGCCTGAAGATGACGAATGAGACTTCGTCGAAACGTTGCCAAGAAACCTCCAATTTTACGCGGGAGAAAACCCGAATAACCAAAGACAGACATACATACATACATATATATATATATATATTAATATCTATGTATTTATTTATATATATAATTTAATATCTCAGTACTAAATAGAGTATTTATAGGCATATAAATTGGACTAATAAATAAATAATAAATATATATATATATATAAATATATATCTTCAAGCTTCCAAGGTTGAGAAACACTGAAATAGAGGATATGAAGGATTCTGCTGTAAGCGATCAGAAAAGACGCAGAAAAAGCAGATAATTCTCTCTTTTTCTAAAAGAGTGCACACACCTGTATTATGCTGGAGGTTTTGTTTTGTTCCGGAGAAAAATACCGCAGGTCGTCTTCGACTTACGACCACAATTGAGCCCCCCAAACGTCCGTTACTAAGCAAGGTAAATTATCAAGGGAGTTTTGCTCCATTTTACGAATTTTCCACAGTTGTTAAGCGACTCGCCGCAGGTAGGAAATTAAATCACAGGGTTTGTTAAGTGAATCTGGCTTCCTCCTGGACTTTGCTTGTCAGACGGTCGCAAAAGGGGATCGTGTGACTCAGGGATACGGCAACCGTCGTAAGTCCATGCCAGTTGCCAAGCCTTTAGATTTGGATCGTGTAAACCCAGGGATGCGGCAACAAGTGTGAGAAATGCTCCTAAGTACCTTTCGAACGGTCACTAAACGAACGCTTGTAACAGGCAGTCCTTGACTTGCAAGTTTCATTTAGCGACCGTTCAAAAGTTACGACAGCAATGAAAAAAAGTGACTTACATCCGTTTTATCACACTTAATGACCGTCGCAGTATCCCCGTGGTCGCGTGATCATAATTCGGACGCTTGCAAACTGACTCATACTTACGACCGTGGCAGTGGCCCAAGGTAACGACTGTAGCAAGGAAGGTCATAAAACGGAGGGGAAAATTCAAATTTAACAAATGTTTCACTTAACAACAGGAATTTTGGGCTCAATTGCGGTCGTAAGTTGAGGACCGCCTGTATGTCAGGAGCTAAAACAGAGCAATATTTTTTCACTTTTTGTCATTCTAAAGTTTATGGATTTCAACGTCCCAGAAGTGCGCAGTTAGCATTGGGTATTTTATTGTCATCGTTATTTGTTATTAAATCATTAAATTTATTATTATTAAATCATTTGTCAAAACACCAAAAGAATTGTGGGAATCCTGGCTGGCTGAGGAATTCTGGGAATTGAAGTCCAGGAGCCATTAAGTGGCTTGTGCCCTTACCACAAAGAGGAAATAGTCCACACTATTGGAAATGGCAGGGAAGAGAATACACAAACACACAAGAGACACACAAACACAATCTCCGGTGCCTTATCTCATTAATAAGAGAGCCCAATTTTATTTTATTTTTTTGTTTCTTTCTTCTTTTCCTCTAGATCGGTGTTTCTCAACCTTGGAAGCTTGAAGATGGGTGGACTTCAACTCCCAGAATCCCCCAGCCAGCGCTGCTGGCTGGGGGATTCTGGGAGTTGAAGTCCACCCATCTTCAAGCTTCCAAGGTTGAGAAACACTGGGCTAGGGAATTCTGGGAGTTGAAGTCCGCCCATCTTCAAGCTTCCAAGGTTGAGAAACACTGGGCTGGGGGATTCTGGGAGTTGAAGTCCACCCATCTTCAAGCTTCCAAGGTTGAGAAACACTGATCTAGATTTTATTTAGATTAAAAACAAGGGACCTGGGAGTCAATTATCGTCGTGATGAAGTCCTTTCAGGTCCAGCTCAGTTAATTATCTTAACGAAGCCGCATTCGTTAAGTGCAAATGCAAAATCAGTCATTAAGTGTTTATTAGCCCAACTTGGCTTCATCTCCACAGCTACCTAGAAAAATTTGGAAGACCTGATAATAATTCAAATTTCCAACAAGGTGTGGGGACATTTATGAGCGTGGAGCAATTTTGTTAGAGCGTTATTTCCCCCCCCCCCTTTCCTTTTAACCTCCTGGTAGTAAGCGAGTCAGCTGGCAAACCTAGCAAGGGCTGCCTTGCCAATTAGCCCTTAATTAATTAGTTCCTGCCATTGGCAAATGAACAGCCTACTACGGGGACTTCTCCAGAGAGAGAAACGGGATGGATGAAAAGCGGACGGAAGGAAGGTGAATGGAGGAAGGAAGGAAGGAAGGAAGGAAGGAAGGAAGGAAGGAAGGAAGGAAGGAAGGAAGGAGAAAGAAACAAAGGAAAGGAGGAAGGAGGAAAGAAGGGGAAGAGAGGAAGGAAGGAAGGAAGGAAGGAAGGAGAATGGAGAAAGAAACAGTAAATGAGGAAGGAGGAAAGAAGGGGAAGAGAGGAAGGAAGGAAGGGAGGGAGGAAGGAGGAAAGAAGGGGAAGGAAGGAAGGAAGGAAGGAAGGAGAATGGAGAAAGAAACAAAGGAAATGAGGAAGGAGGAAAGAAGGGGAAGAGAGGAAGGAAGGAAGGAGAATGGAGAAAGAAACAAAGGAAGTGAGGAAGCAGGAAAGAAGGGGAAGAGAGGAAGGAAGGAAGGAAGGAGAAAGAAACAAAGGAAAGGAGGAAGGAGGAAAGAAGGGGAAGAAAGGAAGGAAGGAAGGAAGGAGAATGGAGAAAGAAACAGTAAATGAGGAAGGAGGAAAGAAGGGGAAGAGAGGAAGGAAGGAAGGAAGGGACGAAGGAGGAAAGAAGGGGAAGGAAGGAAGGAAGGAAGGAGAATGGAGAAAGAAACAAAGGAAATGAGGAAGGAGGAAAGAAGGGGAAGAGAGGAAGGAAGGAAGGAAGGGACGAAGGAGGAAAGAAGGGGAAGGAAGGAAGGAAGGAAGGAAGGAAGGAAGGAAGGAAGGAAGGAAGGAGAATGGAGAAAGAAACAAAGGATGTTGACAGTCGCACGAGTGAGGACTGGTTGTAAGACTCTTTCTCGGTGCGACTGTTAACTATGAACAGTCCCTGAGCAAAGAGTGGTGAGGGTTAGGGGTTACTCTCTTCCTCCAACCCCTCCTCCTTCTAGCACTGATGATGTTACCTAGTTGGGTCCTGAAAGGTCTGCGAGAAAACCATCAAGCCTCAGAGAGCACCAGGGACCCCGTAGTCCTTTCCATCCTCTTCCTCCTCCCCTCCCTTCACCACAAAGCCCCCTCCCTTACAGCCCTATTACTTCCTCCTCCACTCTCATCCTCCCCCTCATCCTCCTCCCCCTTCTCCTCCTCCATCTCCTTCTCTTCGTAAACTCCACTCCCTTCTTGCACTGATGAAGTTACCTACTTGGGTCATGAGACGTCTGCCAGAAAACAACCCAGCTCAGAGAGCACCAAGGATCCCTCAGAAGCCTCTTTTCATGGAGTGACACGTTAAATTTTGGGGTTTTAATTTGGGCCGAAATTATTTAATAATTTAAATTATTTTTAATTGATGTCTGTATATTTTTGTGTTTTAATAGGCTGTACACTGCCCTGAGTCCTTCGGGAGAAGGGCGGTATAGAAATAAAATAATAATTAATAATAATAATAATAATAATAATAATAATAATAATAATAATAATAATAATAATAATAATTCATTATTATTATTATTATTATTATTATTATTATTATTATTCATTATTCATTATTCATTATTATTATTATGCCGTTGTATCAGTCACAAAGGCACCGGAAAGAGTTAAGGAAGAATTAAAAGGTATTAAGAGCTGATCTCCTTGATTTGCAACGGTAATTAAGGATGGCAATTACAGAGCTTCCTTTTAATTTGCCACCTGTGGTCTTCTACTTCCCCACCTCAGGCTTACAAAGGGCTGGCTGGCTGGGAAAGAGGCAGCTCCCTGGAAGAGAAGTAGTAGCTACAGCAGGGTAGTAGCTACTATGGCGCCTTTTACGACCTGAGAATTGAATCTGGGACCATCTGTTTTCCTCCTTGATTTTCCTAGTCAGTAGGTCGCAAAATGCGACAATGCAATGCAATCGTCATAATTACGAGTCAGTGGCCAAGCGGCTGAATTTTAATCACATGACTGTGGGGATGTTGCTGCAGCGGTCGTTAAATGGGGGGGGAACCCGCTCGTAAGCAGGGGTGAAATCCAGCAGGTTCTGGAGAACCGGTAGCAGAAATTATGAGTAGTTTGGAGAACTGGCAAAATACCCCCTCTAGCTGGCCCCAGAGTAGGGTGGGAATGGAGATTTTGCAATATCCTTCCCCCAGGAGTGGGGAGGGATGGGGATTTTGCAGTATCCTTCCCCCTGGAGTGGGGTGGGAATGGGGATTTTGCAATATCCTTCCCCTGGAGTGGGGTGGGAATGGGAATTTTGCAGTATCCTTCCCCCTGGAGTGGGGTGGGAATGGAGATTTTGCAATATCCTTCCCCCAGGAGTGGGGAGGGATGGGGATTTTGCAGTATCCTTCCCCCTGGAGTGGGGTGGGAATGGGGATTTTGCAATATCCTTCCCCTGGAGTGGGGTGGGAATGGGAATTTTGCAGTATCCTTCCCCCTGGAGTGGGGTGGGAATGGAGATTTTGCAATATCCTTCCCCCAGGAGTGGGGCGGGAATGGGGATTTTGCAGTATCCTTCCCCTGGTGTGGGGTGGGAATGGGGATTTTGCAGTTTCCTTCCCCTGGAGTGGGGTGGGAATGGGGATTTTGCAGTATCCTTCCACCTGGAGTGGGGAGGGAATGGGGATTTTGCAATATCCTTCCCTCAGGAATGGGGTGGGAATGGGGATTTTGCAATATCCTTCCCTCAGGAATGGGGAGGGAATGGGGATTTTGCAGTACCCTCCCCCCAGGAGTGAGGTGGGAATGGGGATTTTGCAGTATCCTTCCCCTGGAGTGGGTTGGGAATGGAGATTTTGCAATATCCTTCCCTCAGGAATGGGGAGGGAATGGGGATTTTGCAGTACCCTCCCCCCAGGAGTGGGGAGGGAATGGGGATTTTGCAATATCCTTCCCCTGCCACGCCCACCAAGCCGCGTCCACAGAACCGGTAGGGGAAAAAATTTTGGATTTCACCCCTGCTGGTTAAATCACTTTTTTTCAGCGCCGCGGTAACTTCGGAGGGTCCCTAAATGAACTGTTTGTTAAGTCGAGGACTACCTGTACAAGAACTGGCCTCTGTCGTCTTGACCAAGGCTGTTGTAAGTCGAGGAGCCCCTGTACGTTGGTCGTGTTGCAGACGAACTGCAAAAATCAACACGGCACCAGCCGTCTCTCGGGCTGCTCATCAGGCCGGCCTGTCAATCAAAGGAGGGATAGGAGGGAGAATGAGGGAGGGAAGCACGCTGCTCAGGTCACACTCGGGGGGGGGGACTGGGGGGGCCTCGCCTCGAGGACCAAGAGACGGCTTCGGGGGGCAGCGCGGAATCAAAACTTGTCTGTTGCAAACCCAGCAAAAAAAATAAATAAAAATAAAATAAAATTAGGAAGTGGGTCTCTTCGCTTCGTCTGCCCTTTGGGGAGAAGTCAAAGGGGGTTTGGGGGGGGGGCAAAGGCTGTTTTGGGGTTCGAATTCAAAGCGCTCCTTATCTTTTTGCTCCATACCTGGGGTGTCAAAATTCGATGTTATTGGGGGCCGCATCGGGGTTGTGGGACCTCGGAGGGCCGGGGGTGGGCATGACACAGGACTCATGTTGGGGGCCAAGGCAGGACTTCCCTAAGACCCCCCCCTCTCCCTCATTATAATCTCCTTTCCTTCCTTCCTTCCTTCCTTCCTTCCTTCCTTCCTTCCTTCCTTTTCTTCTTTTTCCTTCCCTCTTCCTTCTCCTTTCTTCTTCCTTCCCCTCTTTCCTTCTTTTTCTTTCCTTCCTTTTCTTCCTTCCTTCCTTTTCTTTTTTCCTTCCCCCTTCTTTCTTCTTCCTTCCTCTTTCCTTTTTTCCTTCTTTCCTTCCTTCCTTTTCCTTCTTTTTCCTTCCCTCTTCCTTCTTTCTTCTTCCTTCCTCTTTCCTTCTTTTTCCTTCCTTCCTTCCTTCCTTTTCCTTCTTTTTCCTTCCCTCTTCCTTCTTTCTTCTTCCTTCTTTTTTTCTTTTTCTTCCTTCTTCTTTCTTTTCCTTTCCTTTTTTCCTTTTTTCCTTCCTTCCTTCCCTTAACTTCTTTTTCCTTCCCTCTTCCTTCTCCTTTCCTCTTCCTTCCCCTCTTTCCTTTTCTTTCCTTCCTTCCTTTTCATTTTTCCTTCCCTCTTCCTTCTCCTTTCTTCTTCCTCTCTTTCCTTCTTTTTCTTTCCTTCCTTCCTTCCTTTTCTTCTTTTTCCTTCTCTCTTCCTTCTCCTTTCTTCTTCCTTCCTCTCTTTCCTTCTTTTTCTTTCCTTCCTTCCTTCCTTCTTTCCTTCCTTCCTTCCTTTTCTTCTTTTTCCTTCCCTCTTCCTTCTCCTTTCTTCTTCCTTTCCCTCTTTCCTTCCTTTTCCTTCCTTGCTCTCTTCCCATCTGCCCTTCTTTTTCTTCGCCTTTCCGCTTTCCCTTTCTCCTTTCCTGTCCCTTCTTGCATATGCTCAAATGAAAAAAGGGGAAGAAACATTTCTCCTTTTGTTTAGTTTTTAGGTTGTTTAGATAGCCCTCTACAAGCAAAAACGGAGCCAGGGAGGGGGGGGTGGCGTGTGCATCGACCCTGTGCCCCGTTTTCGGCCACAATGGCCTCTTGCAGCCCCCTGCCAGCGAAAACGGAGCCCGGGAGGGACTGCGCATGGCTCCTCCCAGAGCTCCGTTTTCGCTGGCGAAGGCACCGTGGCAGTGAGAAATCTAATTTTTTTTTTACTACCGGTTCTGTGGGCGTGGTTTGAGGGGGCGTGGCATGGCTTGGTGGGCGTGGCTTGGTGGGTGTGGCAGGGAAAGGATACTGCAAAATCCCCATTCGCTCCCCACTCCTGGGGGAAGGATATTGCAAAATCTCCATTCCCTCCCCACTCCAGGGGGAAGGATACTGCAAAATCTCCATTCCCACTCCACTCCAGGGGAAGGATATTGCAAAATCTCCATTCCCTCCCCACTCCTGGGGGAAGGATATTGCAAAATCTCCATTCCCACCCCACTCCAGGGGAAGGATACTGCAAAATCTCCATTCCCTCCCCACTCCAGGTGGAAAGATACTGCAAAATCTCCATTCCCACTCCACTCCAGGGGAAGGATATTGCAAAATCACCATTCCCACTCCACTCCAGGGGAAGGATACTGCAAAATCCCCATTCCCTCCCAACTCCAGGGGGAAGGATATTGCAAAATCTCCATTCCCACCCCACTCCAGGGGAAGGATATTGCAAAATCTCCATTCCCTCCCCACTCCAGGGGAAGGATATTGCAAAATCTCCATTCCCACTCCGCTCCAGGCGGAAGGATACTGCAAAATCTCCATTCCCACTCCACTCCAGGCGGAAGGATACTGCAAAATCTCCATTCCCACTCCACTCCAGGTGGAAGGATACTTCAAAATCTCCATTCCCTCCCCACTCCAGGTGGAAGGATACTGCAAAATCTCCATTCCCACTCCGCTCCAGGCGGAAGGATATTGCAAAATCCCCATTCCCACCCAACTCCAGGTGGAAGGATACTGCAAAATCTCCATTCCCACTCCGCTCCAGGCGGAAGGATACTGCAAAATCTCCATTCCCACTCCACTCCAGGCGGAAGGATACTGCAAAATCTCCATTCCCACTCCACTCCAGGCGGAAGGATACTGCAAAATCCCCATTCCCTCCCTACTCCAGGGGGAAGGATATTGCAAAATCTCCATTCCCACCCAACTCCAGGGAAAGGATACTGCAAAATCTCCATTCCCACCCCACTCTGGGGCCAGCCAGAGGTGGTATTTGCTGGTTCTCTGAACTGCTCAAAATTTCCGCTACCGGTTCTCCAGAACCTGTCAGAACCTGCTGGATTTCACCCCTCCACCGCGGACTGATTCTCGGTTGTTTCCAGGCCGGTCCTGAGGACCAGATCTAAGCACCGCACAGGCTCTACACAGACAGCTGGTTGTCCTCGACTTACATCTGACCTTTCCAAGTCACTATGGCATTGAAAAAGGGGGATTTATGGCAATGTTTCACACTTAACGACCGTTGTCGCATCCCCGTGGTCCCTTGATCAAATTCCGGACGCTTGGCAACTGGCATGAATTTATGACGGTTGCAGGCTCTCCCCTTTGGCGACCTTCTGGCGAGCCAAGTCAAGGGGCTGATTCACTTAACGACCGTGCGACTTAAGTGAACCACCACAGTGATTCGTTGGACGACGGCACAAAGAAAGGTTCGTAAAATGGGGCAAAACTCGCTTCACAACTGACTTGACTTAGCGACGAGCATTCGGGGCTCAATGGTGGCCGTACGTCGAGGACAAGCTGTAGAACGAAGTTTTTAGTCTGAAAAGGACTCTGGGGAAGTTGGGAGGAACTCAAGGAGCTGTCCAGGGTGCTGCATCTCCAAGCATTTGCAGGTTCTCCTCGACTTACGACCACAAGTGAGCCCAAAATTTCTGTTTGTTAAGAGAAACACAACTTTTCCGAGCTTGTGGATTGATTTCCGAACGTTTTGTTACCGGGTTAACGCTTTAAATCAGTGTTTCTCAACCTTGGAAGCTTGAAGATGGGTGGACTTCAACTCCCAGAATCCCCCAGCCAGCGTCCACCCATCTTCAAGCTTCCAAGGTTGAGAAACACTGGGCTGGGGAATTCTGGGAGTTGAAGTCCACCCATCTTCAAGCTTCCAAGGTTGAGAAACACTGGGCTGGGGAATTCTGGGAGTTGAAGTCCACCCATCTTCAAGCTACCAAGGTTGAGAAACATTGCTTTAAATGCTAAATTAAATACTTCAAATAATTTTATTCAGCTCAGCGCCTGGATTCTGATCATGGGGAAGCTGCGACGGTCGTTAAGTGTGAAAAACGGTCATAGTTCACTTTTTTCAGTGCCTTTGTTAATTCCGAACAGTCACTAAAGCAACTGTTGTAAGTCAAGGACCACCTGTACTAACGATCCAAGTGACAAGGTTACTTTATTTATTGCTTCATTTATTCGATAAAAATCTAATAAACGAACCATTTTCAACTTGGGAGTGCTGGCAGAATTCTTCAATTAGACTAGGTAGAATTTTTTTTTTCTTCCCCCCCCCTCCCCATGGGGGAAGAATATTTCTGTATTTTTTTTTTTTGTAAAACTTTTCAATTAAAAAAAAAATTAGACTAGGTAGAAAATGAACTTTCTATATTCCAGGCTGCTAATTTGAAGTGAGGGGGCTAAATTCATAAGTTTGGGGGTTTACTTCAGGGCAAAATAATATTCCCTCTCCAGAGGATGGAAGTGCCTAAAGGTATATATATATATCGCTACTTATTTCCCTGCAGCAAGCAGAATGCTGCAGGCTAAACTTATCCAGTCCTTCCCTTTTATTATTCTTTTTTTTCCTATCCCCTCTGGAAAGCCGGCAGCAAATGGAAAATAATAATCAGTTTTTCAAATCCGGGGCCTTGCCCCAAAATCAGAACAGAATATAGACCTGCCTGGAAGACATCTGACAAATTTAAAGATTGTAGTCTTTTCTCAGAGTCTCCCGTTTTCCAAAAGGTAGCCCTTCTTTTTTTTTTTAAAGTAAAGGTAGTCCTTGAGTTACGACCACAACAGAGCCCCAAACTTTCTGTTGTTAAGTGAGTTTTGCCCCGGCTGGCTTTCATCCCCAAAGGCAGGACTAGAACTCCCCGTCTCCTGGTGATTGGCCCAAAGTCACCCAGTCAGCTTTCATAACTAAGGTGGAACTAGAACTCACCATCTCCTGGTGTTTGGCTCAAGACCTGGCTTTCATGCTTAAGGCGGGACTAGAACTCACCCTCTCCTGGTGATTGGCCCAAAGTCACCCAGTTGGCTTTCATTCCTAAAACGGAACTAGAACTCACTGTCTCCTGGTGATTGGCCCAAAGTCACCTAGCTGGCTTTCATTCTTAAGGCGGAACTAGAATTCACCGTCTCCTGGTGATTGGCCCAAAGTCACCCAGTTAGCTTTCATTCCTAAGGCAGAACTAGAATTCACCGTCTCCTGGTGATTGGCCCAAAGTCACCCAGCTGGCTTTCATTCCTAAGGTAGAACTAGAACTCACAGTCTCCTGGTGATTGGCCCAAAGTCACCCAGCTGGCTTTCATTCCTAAGGCGGAACTAGAATTCACTGTCTCCTGGTGATTGGCCCAAAGTCACCCAGTCGGCTTTCATCCCTAAGGCGGAACTAGAACTCACTGTCTCCTGGTGTTTGGCCCAAAGTCA